CCGCCGCTCCCTGCTCCTGCGCGGGGCCGCGGCGGTGGTGCGGGGGGCTGGGAAAGGCCATCGGAGCCATCGTGTGGGGCTTGAAAACTTGGGGGCGAGGGCAGCCCCCCCGCCCCGGCCGGCCCTCCTCACTGTGCCGGGCCTCTCCCGGCCTGCGTCCCCCCCGCTGCTGCCCTGTGCGTGCGGGAGAGATGTCGGTGCTGTCCCTGCCGCCCAAGGCCTCCGCGGGAGGAAGGGCTGGAGGTCTGGTGGGTGTCACCAGCACGTCTCAACGGATCGCCTCGTTTGTACGTGGTCAGTGGGCTGGAGAAACCTCCCCTCGTTGCCACAACAGGGCCGCAGGGAAACGACACATCAACTTTTGTCACAAGCTTATTGAGGGCTTTTTTTGTTGTTGTTTGTGTTTGGGTTTTTCTAATTGTGTTAGACCCTCCAAGGCCTAAACCCTTTGCAGTGTGTGCTGCAGAAACAACCAGTTGGTGTGTTTGCTACTCTGAAACTATTTTGTTGCAAGCGGGAGAACCAACAAGTGCAGCTGTAGCTAAAGAGCAAGGAACGTATGGGTAGTTCTCCAGCAATAGAGTGCACATGTTATTGTTTTATGTAATGATGTAGATGTTTATGTAATGCCATTTGCTGTCATAGTGGCCCCGAAGGCTTTTATTGTAGAACTGTCAAGACGGGAAACTGAGTAACAGATGAGAAAAAGGGAAAAAACAGTTTTGTCAATAGACCATAGAGGTATAAAAGCTAGTAGTGGAGAAACTTGAAGGAAGCAAGTCTCAAAGAACCAGCTGGGAAGCCTTGCATTTCCTTCATGAGATGAAATGTTAGGTATCTTTTGTTATGTTAGGTATTAACTTATACTTAATTTCACTTTCATTAATGTAGAGTAGCTGATGGGGTGCTTTTTTTTTTTTTTTCTTGATAATTTGAAGCCTTGAGATATTTTTGGAGGCTGTGTTATGTATACAGACACCTGCCAGTAGAGTTATCAGAACTTAAATAGGTTTTCTTTAATGTTTTTCTTTGTTTCTTTTCTGGGAAAGGGGAAGAAGAGGAAGAGAGAGGCTTAGCCGTTAGTTTTGTTTACGTAGGAAACTCCATTCCTTCTCCACTTCTGCTGATACCACCACTTCTTTTTCTATGGGTATTTGACTTAACCTGTAAATTTTACTATTTTGTGTCCACATAAAGCAATTTCATTCCAAAGGCTGTAACAAAAGTGATCGGCAAGACAAGGTGTAGGGCTTTAGCATATTCTTCTGTAATTGTCATCAAACAGTAATGATTTTGCTTGGGTAAATACACTGCCCAGAGGAATTAAGTACAGAGAGAATTATTGAAATCTTATCTATAGAACTGTTGGTTTAGCAGTTCTAGAGGGAGATCTGTTAAAAGTCTGACTGCTTCTTAGAGCTATTCTCTTATTTTATACATAAGTTATTTCAGAAGCTGATGTTTCAAGGAAACCTGTTTGAGAGAGCAAGAACTTCTGCTTTCTGTAAACATTAAGACCCTGCAGAAAGGAGTAGATTGAGAACAGCCACAGAGTGTTTACAGTGGCAATAAAGCTCTGAAGTGGAATATTTTCCATTTATATTGTGACTCCATGTGACAATTCAGGAATAGTTAACATTTTTGGAACTTTCTGGGCACTTTGATTCTTTTGATAATGACTTCGCTGCTACAGCAGATTATCATCGTTTGACAGTTTGTGTGATTCTCCACCTTGACAATTAATTAACGAAGTCATACTTCTGCAAAGGGCAAGCATATCAGTAAATAGCAGCAATGGGATTGCAAGAATTGCTACCTCTCATGATAAATTGCTCCAAATCTCATTTCTGGCTGACCAATTCATTTGTGTTAGAGCCTTATTAAATGCAGTTCATGTCAGCATCTTTC